TCTTAAATATCAAATTTAAACGTTACGTTTTTAAAGTTCATTTTGGAATATAAAATTAAATTAAACTGAAAAATAAATGAGGTACAGTAATATTTTCATAAATATATTCGTTATACATTCGCCACGCATCGCTTAAACAGCTGCATTTAACGTTTAACAGATTACAAAAGTAGGACACAATGAACAACTCATTATAGCAGTTTCCTAAAAATGTCTTTTACGATTATATTTAAATCAAATCCATTATTTAAAACACTAAAAATACATTTAAAAAAATATTTTTCATAATTTTAATGCTTGACTTTAATATAAAAATAAAAACCATCCGTTTGAATAAAATTACGTTCAAATTTATTTATAACGATTTTCTTTGCCCGAGGTTCATTTGCATGACGAATATTATTATTATTTTTTAGTTCAAAATTAAAATATTCAATACGCTTGAAAAATTGAAACCTATTTTAAAATGTGAAACTCTTTTTTATAATAAGTATACTATAATTATGATATATTATTATAAATCAATAGAAAAAAAGATTCACTATTGTTATTAATATTATCATACTATATTATCACACTCAATTGTGTGAGCCACTAAATTTTGTTTAAGGGACCATTAGCTCACTATTGATTCATTAAATGTTTTGTGCAACCCGGCTTTAGTATATTAAATATATTTTTGCATGATTATCATACATGCACCGTTGGAAGGTATATCGTATATATAAGGAAACATCACGTGCAAAGAGACATATTGTGTTGGGACATTAAAAAGTAATACCTAATTCTAGAGTTCTTTTGAACAATCGATTTCTGTTTGTAGCCGTTTATAAATCCAAAGAATATCTGTAGACTTCCTATTCTTCCGGCTAACTTCATAATAATAATAATATATTACCGGTAGTTGTAATATCCGCGCACAACAGGATGCAATATTGTCGCGACTGTTTTTATTTTCGATTGTTCATGTTTGTTCGGCGTATAATACTTTCATACATTGTTTCCGTGATTACGATATCACACTTTCAATGTATGCCCATGGAACTATAATATAATTATTATTTATCATAACGTCGATGGCCCACTAGCCTTTGATCTCGTTTCGAATCGGAAGTATGCCGACAGGGCAAAACAAGTTAGCACGGACATAACACTACATATTATTATTATGTACACTCGAGCTATCGGCTAAATTTAATTTCCATATTATTATAATATTATACTATATTCCTATATTTATACAAAACATTGGATAAGATTTTATATTCATAAATCGGATAAATATATATATATATATAATACATTGTATAACAGTTGTAAAATTCGATTAATGTGCTGCATTTAATATTTGCGTTCAAATTAATATTAACTATTAACGACACATCGACATCGTAATATTTTAATTCCATTAATCATTGATGCTTTATAATTCACCGGAAATTAAAATGCAAAATAGTATATTTTGTTCTTCATGATTAAAACTAAATTCTGATCATATAGGTAGGTTTAAAATTTAATATTTACGTGCTAGATATATAATTGTGAATGTTTCTTTCAAATGTATTAAATGTTTATTAATACTATTATATTATAGCACTGTACAATAATTATGAACAAAAATATTAAACATTTTAAAAATTCCTCAACGATAGTTGGCCAATCCCAGGATTTAATCATTTAAATTATTATCAACCTTCATTCATTAACTTTAATCAACTGTGAAATATTATTGATACAGTTTTAAAACCTACTCCACATATTATTGTACCCGATCTGTATTCTCATTGCGTAAGAACACGTCTACCTATGTGTACAACCAATAAGTATATTATGAATACGTTTTTTTCGAACAAACTTTCTTAATCTGTTTTTTTTTTTTTTAATAACTAAAGTACAATATTCTAATAACATAAACATTAAATTCATAATACCTAAAAATCAACAAAGTTAATTCGGTTAAGCAATTATGTTTAATATATTAGATATGTACTATTGTATTAAAAATATCCAAAGCGATAGTTCAAAGAATTTTTTTTTTAGATGCCTATTTTATTTGAAAATAATAAATACATATTTACTATGAAATTACAATAGTTTTAAATGTGAAAATTGCGAACAAGATTATGAAATATAAATAAATAATTAAATATTCGAGATTCACTCTCATGTGAAGATTTTTAAATTTTCCATAAATAGGTTTAATGGTGAAAACTTAATATAACTTCACTTATTAAATATTAATAATTTATAGAAACATTGAACTTAAACAATTTGCTTCGTCGTTTGAAAATATTTTCAAATATAGAAAGAAATCATAATAATTTATACAATATTATAATTAAATACTGATTAAATATTTTGTTAGAGTAGGTGCTTATTGCGCTCATTCGTTACATTTTTAAAACAACACAATATCGTGTATTTTATATTTTGTATTTTTATGTTATGCATACGAATAACGAATAAGAGGTGCCTATAACAAACTATCAAATACTTCAGCTGTCATAAAACCTTAGACCATAAACAAAATTGAATATGATCAAAACATAAAACCATAGCCATTTTACACTAAAAAAAAAAATTATACCAACTATACCTATAGCTGGTATTAAACCCATACCGCCAATACTTACAGAAATACATATTTTTCCTGGGTAATACAATTAAAAATATAAAATATCACGTGCCAACTCAATCGAAATATAAATAAATATTTATCGACAATTGTATAAGTATACAAATAAATACATCGACATGCAACAACAGCAAACTTGTATTAAATGAAATCATTATTATTTTGTTTGTATGTTTACACGGGTAGATACTTTGTGTGTTCTTTTATTTACTTTTTCCACATTTATCTGATTTTAATTAAATTTTGAAATTACATTATTTTTTTTATCCGTTAAACAAAAAACACATCACCGGGGACATTCGTGTCACGTTTTTGTAGCCCCAAACTTCTGATGAAAGATATTTTCTAAGTATACAATTAAAATGGTACATACAATATCAAATTGTATACTTATACACTAATTTGCAAATTAAAACTCACCTGCAGGTCCATGTTAAATATCTGTCTTAAACAGGTGTTTTTATAATATTGTCATGTTGAATGGAACTTATGACAAAAATTTTGTGTGCAAAAAGTTTTAAATATGGAGTCTGAACATAAAAAAAAACTGTGATGTTTATCAGGACACATTTTGTGCGCGAGGGATGATAACTAATTATTTTCCTATCAACTGATTCTATATATTTTTTTACAAAATTAGTTCTAGTTAATTTTTATAATATCCTTCGATGTTATAAAATAAATTATACTACCTAGGTATATTATTCTATTTTTTTAAATCTATTAAACAATTTACGTCCCGTAGTTAAAGTACAACCGAAATTTAACAGATCTACAAATAAAGCTACTATAGGTACTATAGGTACTGAATACGATAACTTATGTATAGGTAATAAATGGTTACTAATGTTGATTAAACGATTGAATATTGACGACCGTTTCGTTTTTGTTATAATACAATAATTATATACCCACACTTGTCACATTAAAGTTATTATACAATTCAAGTAAGTATAGGTTATATCTACCTATTTAATAAATGAATCAACAATGCCATTTATTATTTACCTATATATGTATCATAATATTATAAACTATTATTAACACATAATAGTAACTATAATTAATAATAACAGACTTCCCTAAATTTGAATTAACGATTTACAATGCTTTAAAAAACTAAAATGTGTTCTCAAAGATTTTTCATAAACGTGACTACACACAGGGCCGTCCCGAAGGGGGGTTTTAGGGGGTGTCCCACCCCCCTGAGCGTATAATATGTATAGTCAGTTGGCACATTGATACCTACATTAAGTATTTGAGTTGGGCAGTTGGCACTCGGCAAATTATAATTTTTTTTACAGTTTTTTAATAACTTTGTATATACTACAAGTCCAAATATATCATAATAATATATTGTAATTTATAATAATATGAAGGTATTATATTAAGTTAATTTCCCGATTGCCAACTGTCCAACACAGTTAATACTATTATAATAGCACGATAAATTTTAAAAATACAAATGCCTTAAAAACTTAATATTTTTCCCTGGTTAGGTCTCATCTTGAATTTGGATCAATTGTCTGGTCTCCACATTATTTTTCATATACCAGTCTAATTGAAAATGTTCAGTATAAGTTTCTAAAACTTTATGCTTTAAATTAAATATACCAATCACGAGAGAATTATATAAATTGCAAATTTCCCAATTGGGGATCGCGTCTTGTGATTTGAGGAGAAATGTTGCGGATATTATGTTCTTATATGACTTATTAAATGGTCTTATTTATTCTCCGGAATTATTATTTCACATTGGTCTTAATGTACAAACTCACGTATTAAGAAAATCTAACTTTTTTCATGTTTCTCTTTCCAAAAATAATTATACTTCCACCTCGTTTTTCCCCAGAGCTCTGTCTTTGGCTAACAGTATAATGGATCATGTTGATTTTTTTGCTATGTCACGTTTTGTATTCAGACAAAATGTTTATCTTGCTTTAAATATAAATTCTCTTGCTTAAATATTATTTTTATTATTTTATTCTTATTAAAATTTTTTTTTTTTGTGTAACCATTTATTGTTAATTATTAATGATTTTTACTGTACTATATATTTATTCTTTTTTGGCTGTTAACTATTTCCATTGGTACAAATAATTTTACATCATTATTGTGTCCAAATTATGTTATAAGATAAGTTAAACTGTACTTATATATTTTTCTAATTGCTAAAGGGTTTAATACCCGTTTATTATAAATAAATAAATAATATTTTAGACTTTACCTATCAATGTATCATATATAATATTATAACAGTATACAAATTTGCCTATACATATTCGAATAATCACAGAATATATGAAATTTCATAATATATTATATTCTGTCGTATAATCATTGAATTATTTTTAATAAAGCTGTAATGATAACTGATAAGGAATTGTGCGCTGATTTTAAAAACCATCATCGTAAAAGATTAGCTCCTAAACGATATGATTGTAATGCCACAACCCAAGCTGAATTCACAATGCATCTATTTTATAGAAAAGAATTTAAAATGGTTCTAGATACCCTATTAAAACTAACAAATGATAATTTAAAATCATGTATTTCTTCTATTCAACCATTATTTACTCAACCATTTAATAAAAGCAATATTCCTTTTTGTTTGTTCCCGCACCAAGCAGTGTAGGTGCTTACCTTCTAGATTATGATTTAGTTCAAACAGAATTAGAAATATTATTTAGTATGTTACAAGAAGATAGAAAACTACCATTTAATTCTTTAATGGAAAAAGCAGAAGAAGTAAAGCATATTTTACCATGTGCTAATCAAATTTGTCGTTTAGCATTGACTTCTCTTGTAACAGTCGCATCAAACGAAAGATCTTTTAGTAAACTAAAATTGATTAAAACATATCTTAGGTCAACAATTTCTGATGAGAGATTAAACTCTTTAATTGTATTGGGAGTAGAAAAAGATATTGTTGACCTATTGGATATAAATAAAATAGCACATCAATGGTCAATTTTAAAAACCGACGTATATAAATTTAGTGTTAAGTTTATTATAATATTTTTTTGTTGATATAATAAAAGAACATAGTAAGAACATAATAAAATATTTAATATTGTGTAACATTTGTCTACTGACTACTATGCATGTATAGTCTGCAGGTAGAAGGTAATTGTCGAGCGAAGCGAGAAAATTTTTTTTTTAGTTGGCAAATTATGAATCAAACCACCCCCCCATGATTTGTCTTTCGGGACGGCCCTGACTACACATAATAAGCAGGATAACATTTAAAACTAAATATATCGGCATTTGACAGAGTGCTCTGTTACCTGTCTACTATACACTGTTATTATATGCCTTTAAATCTTATAATCCCACGCGTTTTCCTTAGACAATATTAATTTTAAATAATTTGTATTGCTTTTGGTCTTTGGACAATGTTAATGACGGTTCAGATAACTGGTATACCTATTGTTATTGGGAACTGTGCTTCCCGAAGACAATTACCTTTTAGATTGTTTTGATTGTGAGGCGTTTTTTTTTTTTAAATGGTTTGGTATATTTTTAATTTAAAGAATTTCTAAGTCCATATCTTATAGTTTTTTTAGTGCATTACATTCACAGCCTGGTTTATAGATAAAAGATTATTATAAAAACGCAAATTTAGAATTTAATGAATTCTATTTTTATGTAATTAGTTTTGATAATACATTTAAGCGAATTATGTGAGTCGAGAATAGGATGACAGATTCATGCCAATATTTGGTGTCAATGACCATATTATTATTATCGAGACGGGAAGTTATAATGTATGATAAATGGACAAATGGTATATAATATCCAATGACAAACAATTATTATTATTGGTGAAAATGTCTGTTTCTGAAATAATTATCTGATCGGGTAGATCAAACAAGTGGATTCAGACGACTTTTGTGTACTATTTAAAGTTACTCTTTGAAGTTGATCTAACAATACAACAATTTATGTATAATAAATAATAACATAGGTACCTTAATAATCATTCACATTTCTTGCACAGTCAATCTACGTATACAATATAATATCAACCATGGTTGGTAAATAATATTATGTTCTATAATTAATATGTATGTCGATTTATGACACTAACGAGGGTTGTTTTAGACGGGTGACCTAATGACATAAAAGATAAAATTGACAAAGTAGGTGAAAGGAAATAAATCCCTACAAGACCTTACTATATACACCACAGATTGTATCTGATTAGTAGTAACATTCTAAATTTCAAACGGAGTTTTAGAAGTACAATATATAATATTGTATTATGATGATATTAATTTAAGATTGAATCAACGTGGTTATTGTGGGTTAACATTGCTGTCTCGAATATTACATAGTCAGTATTATATTATTATATTAAATAGTAGGTATCTTTACATAATTTATCTGAAGAATAACTTTACTATTATGACAATTGCAAATATTTTTGATATTATGTAAACGATTATAAAATACAATTAATAAGCTACTGCTTTTCGGTTATTACATAGGATTTTTCTCATTAATCGGTATTGTAATAATCTAGACTGTCTAGAGTTTTCAGTGTATTAAGTGATTTTTTTTTTATTCAGTAAATTTTTTATGCGATAATAGTATACGATAATGTACGTATACCTACTAAAATAATTTTATAATATTTTATTTCAGTAAAATCAAGACGTAATCGATATAATCATCTCTCAGAAACTCTCAATCACGTTTTAATAAGAACACAGCTGATATTATGAACAATTTGGGTGATGTGAATCAAGAAGACGAGGTTTGAGGAAACGCGCTTAGAGCAATTATTAATACTGTTTTCCCAATATTATTGGTATATTTGTCGACAATTATTTTTCACAGAAATAACGAATAACACTCACCTCCGGACCGTTTTCGTTAATTCCCCTGTGAATAGATAATACCTATGTTTCGTGCACATGAGCAGTTTTCAGACAGGTCCCCAATGCCCGAATTGCTGTTGAGTGTAAATATGCGAAATAACTAATTTTATCAACATAACACCTCGGTAACCTTAATACAATATAGGATTATATTATTGAAACCGAATGAACTAATTTATAGTTATTTAATGTGTTGGAAGTAAACTTAAAAAATAAAGTAATACTGTAGTGTAGGGATGGAATGTTTTAATACCTGATACATTTTTTCACGTTATTTAAGATTTTTTTGTGCCAAACTATTTATAAGAGTATAGATCCGTCCAACTATCAATTGAATCACTTCGTAAACTATGCGTGCTCATTATTTTTTTTTATTCTGACACCCTTGTACAAATCTTACATAATAAAACTAAACACCTAGGTACCTATAAAAAAAAAATAAAAACAATAGATGGATGTTACTATTCATTTAAGACGAGCAAATTCTAAGAAATATTTCGTGTCTTATTAATGTTCAGCGTGACTAACTAGATTATATATAATAATATATCTCAATATATAGTTATAATAATAATATGATATATATTATGATTCAATTCTTGACAATACAATTTTTGATCAAACATATACGTTTATAATTATAGTATATCATTTTCACAAAAACACGAAATTCACATTGAACGTTTAGATTTATTCAGATAGATAATATAATATTATAACCCAAGTGACTCAATATGTGTATAGAACATTGTTCTTCCTATAGTTATTTAAAAGTATAGTTTCAATTTTTTTTTTATACACATTACATCTTTATACGCTTTGGGGCAACTTTTGTGCTATTAAAAAGCGTTTAAAATCATGCGAAACAACTATATTTGAAAATACCTGTATAAAAAAACCGATTGTCTAATACGATATTTTTCATGCTAAAAACTAATTTGTTATAAAAGAGTATAAAATATTTCAACGTTTCAGAGTGGATAGCGAATTATTATGGAAATTATTTGTTTACAATACAAACGAATATAAGGTATACCGTATACCTATTGTCTTATAGTACCTACTTGAATTTCATACGTAATATATAACAGATAAACAATAATAATAAAAAAAAATTAATAGTAATAATAATAGATACTTACTATAAAAAATACAATGATAAATAGTACAACGACATTTCTGAATCTTGGTAGTATAAATTTTTTATTAATTATTTTACAATGCAATTTACTATAATTACTTACTTATAAGTAGTTATTATAACTATTATACTTAATTATAACAAATATAAGGTTATTTAGTTTTTATTGTGAAACGAAGTACGAACTGCCTTATTGAATATTATTACTGTGTATAGCCGTATAGATATTATATAGGTGTACCTATATCAACATTTTAGGAGGCTGCCTTTTATCGTCACTAACCATGCGAACGTTTGTACATAAAACCTATAGGTAATATAATATGGATATAGTACAACGGACGCAACAAACATGACGTATACGCGATGCATATTGTATGAACGTTTATAAAATAGGGTCTCGTTGTTGTGTTCACAATAAGTTCACAACATTATTCCGATCAGGTGCCGCTGCTGGTGTTACTGCAGTTTTAATCATGTGTACACACTATACAGGTGGGTGTACCTGAAGGATCTAGTGATTTAATTAACAATCTAAATGTGCAATAAATTCTATAATATCCCTCAGGTGCACACTATGTACACGTTTCCTGTTGTAGGTGTATAGTGGGTATAAAATAATAATAGTATGTCACATATAATATGCGATGTGTGTTATACAGATATTGTATATCATGGAGCTACCAGCGGCGACAGTCAAGTCGACCCTCAAGTCTTTTCTCAGGCTGACCACGCTGGGGGGTCATCCGCTGGATGCGGCCGACGTGCCCGTGTTGATTACGAAAATTATGATAAATTCAGTTTTCAAGGTTCGTCGCCGTGGACTTGGCACCCGACGAAGTTTGTACATGGTGGAGGGGACTCGTTACTGCCGCGTCGGGGACTCGGAACTGCGCGTTTGGATTGTATACCAACGGCTACCGATGTTGCGGTCAAAGGTCGGAAGTGCGAGAATCGCATATTTGGTCGAAAAGCTAGCGTCCAAATCTTGAAAAAAGCAACTACACGGTACAAGACGCAAGTCCCATTTTTAGATTTTAAATTTCTTAGATGTATTTTAAGGTAAATAAAAAATAAATGAATTATAATTAATGTAGTTTTTAAATTATATTAGCGTAAATTAAAATTTTTCCAAAGGATTAAAAATTTAAAACTATGTATTCGGTGTTCATTCACAATATTATTAATTATTATGTACTTATGTCAGTTTTAAAAAAATTTCTATACGACCTATTTAAAATATATTTCAAAAAATAATTAAGTGTGATTTTGACATTTTCTTTTGATTTCGTAAAGAATTCTTTTAAACAAAGTCAATTTTTAAAAGAAAATAATTAGTTTAACAGCGTTAAAAAATATATGATGTTACCCTATTCTTTATAGGTAAGATGAAAAATTGTTTTCACCTGAAATTTTCTGAAAAATTAAATTGTATTTTATAACTTCTAAAATAGGTAGATTCGTAGATTCTTGTGTATTATATTTTATATAGGATTATAATTAATACAAGATTATTTAATATAGTGTATACATTGTATAACTACAATAGGATTTGAAATCAATAACTTGGTAAGTACCTAAAAGTTTATTTTGAGTTATTCACTTTTTTTCATGAAAAAGTTTATTGAAACAATTTTGTTTCTACAACTACAAGGGCCAGAACCGAACATAATAATATATTAATGAAAATATGAATGACTTTGAACAATCAACACTATTGGTCTTTTTTAAAAGTATTGTTATACTCATATACGATGTACTATCTATATTAAATTGAAAGTGTCATGTGAACATATATGGTATTCAAACTAATAGAGAAAAATCTATTCAAGAGATTAATCAAATGATTCCGCTTTAGATGATATAGACACTTAAAAAATATTATTAAACGTTATGTTAACATCCAATAATATATTTATATGCTCGTAGATCAATATTTATTTTGTTTTCCACAGTTGAATTAACTTTATGATCTACCTACCACGGTATCTAAGTCATAAAAAATAGAACATATTATTAAGTATTGTTTTTTCGATAACATATATAATATATACAAACAATTTAAAATGAATAAATATTTTTTACGAAGTAAAAATCATTCTACCGCGTTTGTTGAATAAATATTTTGGAGAGAGTTACCTATATGTTCTTTTACTGCAAATTTGTTTTACCCATTTTTTTTATACTTCGTTTTTCCATAAATATTACTATATATTTTTGTTGATTTCGTTTTGGTGTAATATAACCTTACGTTATTTGTTACACTCTATCTTATAAACTATATTGTGCGTATATAAAAAGTTACATAATATTATAGCCCATATAGGTATGTTACATATGATTGGTGGTTACCTATGTGTTTAATTGCTATGCATTAATTGTATTCAAAATCGTCAACCCACGCGTATTTTCGTTCGGACCCTCGTAAAATATACCTACAGGCCTGTTGAAGAGAAAGCAAACAATTTAGAATAATACTTAATAATAATAATAAAATCTTCATCTGCCTATATATACTTTCACATAATATTATATTAATACTTCAAAGTGTCACATATTATAGATACTGATCATCATTTTAATCTTGATTTAAGAAGTAATTATTATTACAATAATTTGAACATTTGAGTATAATTTCGAATATTAATTAATGATAGTACTAATACAATTATAAAATAATGCTGCAGATAATTGCACTATGTTAACGACGTGGAAATTCCCAATAAATATCCAAACACTTCATTGTAAAAGCATAAATAATGTGTAGAGTTGGGCCATATATAGTAAATAGTAATGTCTGTAAAAAATCTGTAAAGTGCTCTAGTAGTCTGTTTACACTTTCTTCACGCCATCGTCAATTTTTAAATGTATTGCATTGCGCAAAGGTAATTAAAAACCATGGGGTTAAGGACTTAAGGTAATGTTAATTTGAACGACTTATTAATTTCTTACCCACCACAAAGTACATACTCTAAAAATATCAGTTCGACACCATATGTGGGGGTTTAATTAAGTCTCTACATTTTTGCTAAAATTAGATTTTGAATACTTAGAAATTAGAATTAATCAAAATGCCATTTTTTATTCTTAGAAATTAATTAAATCAAAATCAAAAAATAAAGTTTTTTTTTGTTACTCTGTTACGTAATACTAAAAAAAGTGTAATATGAATAATGATAAAATAAAATGTGTTCTTATTAATGAGTGCTCAGTGAAAATTCATAGACAAAACGCCAAAAAATTATGACAAGAGCCTACTGACCTCGCTACTGACAGAGAAACATAATAGTATTATATTTATTATATTATCGCTTAAATATCAGTAGGCATTAAAATATTATTATATAGTATTACAGTAATAACTTATAAATAATGATTACAGTTATAACTGTATATAATATTATATAGTGTAATTAGTTAGTAATTAATAAGTAGATAGGTACCCATGCTATAATTTTTAAGATTAAGTATATACAATAAATTAATAAAATATACGATGGATAGTTAAAATACATAAACGTAATTTTTTTTTTTTAATCAATTTTTATTAGCTTTCAGTTATTACAACTATAAACGTAATTATATTATTATAATAGCGTGATGAGATATTATATTTTATTATATAGTAATGTCATGCAGAGTAGGTAATATTAATACTATTTAAGAGTATAATGTAAATACAATAATTAACAAAGATTTATAAATGCGTGTATATGTAGTATGCATATATTATAAGGTTCCGTTAGGTTTCCCTCGATAAATCTAAAAATCTTATAGCCCATGCAGATTCACCAATAACACAAACACGAATATCATACACGGTACACTACAATATATTCATAATATGTAATAATAATATATAGGTACGAAGTCAAACGCTGCTTATTAGTCATTATTATGGCCGATAATAATCGAGTATAATAGTATAATATATTGTACCTACCCATGATGTGATAAAACGCGTTTGAGTAAAAAGTAAAAATAAATAAAATAATATATTCTCTAATGTTTATGAGTATACTTGTGAGTATGAAAGCGAGGTAAGGTCGGGTACTGGAGAATCTCATTTAATAGTAGATACGATATATGTATACATTTTACATATAAGATATTTTTTTTCTAAGTATATTTTTAAGAGCTTCCCACGCAAATTCCTTCGAGACTGACAGGTTTCAAACGCGTGGGTGTGAGTGCGTGAAAATTTCCACTCCATAACGATGATTAATTTGATAATTCAAATGAACCGAACACGGTCAAAACGATTGAAATCAATAGCACGTGGTATAGGATCAAACGACCATAGTGCAAATGGTTACGCGCACAGAGAAACAATAACGACCGCTTTATAATATGCGTACCTCAGAACCACGGTAACGTACGCAAGCCTATATAGCTAGGTGTGCGATAAAAGGAAATCTGGTTTTATATTATTAACAATATAGCTATTGACGATTAATATTAATTTATAGGTACACGATTTTTGTTTTACGTGGGAGCTATGATGAACAAAACAAAAATCACCGAAGGGGTTTTATTTGCTATGGGAAGTTTTAATTTTATGCAAGAATTTGTACAAAACATTTTCGTCTATAAAGAAACTTAAAATGAACCGACGACACTTGCACAAAGATTGCGGTCTAGGTAGGTCAATGGTAAGTGTAGGAAATAATAATAATTTAAATCTAAGCCAAAGTTCAAATAGCAATTTTCTTTAGAGAAACATTTAAGTACCTACTGTTAACGCATAACATAAGTAACCGGTATATGGTATATCGACTTTGATCTAAAATTTGGCTAATTATAATTTTTTTGTTTTCGTCTAACGATGAATCTATAATCCAGTAAACATTACACATTTATGTATCTACATTCAGTGGAGTACGCAGAGGTAGGGACGTAGGGTTCTAGGATTCTACCCCCCTAAAATGTCTTCCTTTTACACAAAAATTCTTATATACCACCATTTCAACACTTTAAGTCCATCGATTGTTTGTCATTTTTAATAGATATAAAATAAATTGTGAAAATTGACAAAGACGTCAATAATCATAGTTTCAGTTTTTTTTTAGCTGATTTATAACTTTTTTAAACGTCTGCCATAATCGTAGTATTGTGTATCATCATGTCCATCGATTACCTATTACCATGTTTATTATGACCCGAAGAGGCTCCATAGATGACCAGGTGTCCAGGTTAAACCTTCGAGTGTTCTAAATGTAGACTTAATGTTAGACTAACTTCCTTATAATTTTTTTAACCAATTATATAAAACTGTTAGGAAAAAATAATGTAAACTATTTACTCAGGTGAAACCCTAATTGAACTAAAATCTTGCGTACGATTAAATATAAAGCTAAATCGAAAAAAAACACATTATTTAACGAAAATTAAAAAAAATCGCTTAGTTGAAGGTATCGATTTTTGAGCAGAAAACTACTATCTAAAAAACTATCTCAAATTACTGTGAATAAATTATAAAATTCTATTTTGGGGAAAATGTATTGAATAATTGACATTGTGTATTATACCAAAAAAAATAATTCGATGTATGCCGTGGATCGTGGATGGTTCAAATTTAGACTTTAGTCTGACCAATGTTTAAAACAAATGAGTTGCAAGTAAAACATGACTTGTTATTGTACAGTCATTAGTTACAATTGTATTAGCAAAAACCAGTGACAATAGCATAATGCATATTAATAATATAGTGGGACGCATTACGTGATATCAATCTATGTGACATATTATATATTATTATATCATTATTTACGCACTGCTGCAGGGATACACCCATATCTATGACGTAGTGACGTGATAAATAGGTTAACGTAGGTACAAGGTAGATATATTTAGGAATGGGGATCGTGACAGTTTTCTGGGAAAGCTGGAAAAATGTGTAACGATGTATTTTAAGGACGAATTATATTGTAATATTATACTATGCCGTCAGGCCGCCGCCGCGCCGTGTCCAATATTATAATATTGAAAAATA